CAAATCAGCAAGTTTTTTTTAAAATTCCATAATATGTAGCTTGTTAAGGTTCCATCTCACAAAACATCGGAAACACACCCCGTATCAGTTATTCACTCCCCTGAATACTAAAAATCTCAATATAAATACTCACAATCATGTCTACAGATACTAAAGTTTTATTCTCCGTTTTCTATTCAAACTTATATCGCACAAGGTCTTCGTAGCAAATCTTCGTCCCACACCAATAAAGAACACATCCTTACGAAATCCTGTTGCTCCGCGTGGCCTTTAATGCTGAAACTGACTAATTATTTGGCTGTGTTGTTTTTTGTTACTCCGGCAGAATACACAGACAACAAAATGTCTGTTATTGCTTCCAGAAAAAAACGATAAATTAAATAATTTTCTCAATACATACAAGAGTCAAGTATCTATTACAAATATTACATACTGTATAACTGCGCATAATTGGTAAAAATTTGGTAAAATTACTCCATCCGATATGCCCTACTCTAATTACTACAGTATCGCAATACATGAGGCACCACCTACAAAACGTAGGTAGCTACTCAACACTAGCTAACGTTACTCGATGCAGCTGAATTTGGAATTCACACTAAATTTGAATCGAGTTGAGGTGAATTGAGTGGCAATGTACACTCACCCTACCGTATTCAAATTACCATGTAGCATAATGCAGAGCCGTGCGAATATTTTAAATATGTAAATAAATTTCAGTGTAAAAATTGGTGAAATGGCAAATTTAATATCACAACATTCGGGGCATTGGATTTAGTCGCGCAAGTAACTGGGCATATTTTCAGAGTCATTGTCTTAGTCGTACCTTTAATAATCACGTTTTAGGAGCCCAGGGGTCTATTTCAGCAACACTTTGAAGTTATGCCATACACACTGCCAGGTACAGAGAAAGTTTCCTGCGCAGTCTGAATTTCCTGGAGAAAGAGTTGAAGAGCCAACTGTTTCGGCCTGACCTGAGGTAGTTCTCGGTGACTCACCTCCACAGACCAATAACAGGGAAGACCCTTGGGACACAACTCAGAGGGGTACCATCAGTAAAGGCGGTTTGATCACGCGCGTCCAAATCAAAGAGGGAGAGATTGGCTGAAGGTTTATCGCGTCCTCTTCTATAGTAATAGATGCTAAGAAATATAAATGTGCAAAAGTAGATGCTAAAAAGTTCACACCTGATTGTCTGAAGGCTCGATGTTGGTTCTTTGAGCTATTCTAGCATTTTGATACCGCTTAGCAGCGCGCCACTACATTCTTTTGTTGCCTGTATCCTTTATCTTTCAGTGATTTGGTTACTCAGGACAACAGCTGTGAACTGATACATTAGTCTCTCACACCCAGCAGCCATTCCCAACATCCTCTCCTATTGTAAATCAGCAAATAACTCCACTGGGAGAATCATCTGTTGGGAGACGCACTCCGGTCAGTCCCCATCCTTCAGAATAACACTTCACAAACCCGCAAAAACTTACACCACACCGAACAGATCAACAAGGTACACCAAGAAGTTAGATTTAATCCGTTTCTTTAAAGGCTGCAACATCCGGACAGCCTCGTGCCATTTGATCTATTCCCCAGTCCAGCCGGGGACTACAACAACTCGCCAGGACTAGAGCCGAGAAAGGGTGAAGCGATGAATAGCAAGAGCCCACTTTACCATATCCGCACATTGCCGCCTCCTATGTTCGATTGAGTTGGTTACAGGATCTGAAGGAGATAGGAATTTCTACTGTTTTTTTTTCAAAACGGAGTGGCGTACAATCAAAATGAGTGTGAGGCTATCCAGGGCGAAGAAACTTCATACGTGGCGTAGTGAAAATCTCCAAGTATCTGTCACGCTCATAACGGGGAGGTCATGAGTCAATTGAAAACTTCAAAACTGAGATTGATATCTCTTAGTTAAGGAAATTGATGGTTATGGGCAGAGAGTTGGAAAATGGACGGGAGCCAGTACCTAATGGTGCAACTGGCTGAGCTGTACTGCTGTTGCTATATATTCACTCAATACTGCATTCAAAACACTAGCCACTCACAATACCATATCAAAGTACTGAGTGATGAGAATGATTATTTCATGCGATGGGAGACTGAATGAGGATAATGGCTTATCCCCACTGAAAAGAGGTGACCAAGGAAGGACACAGAGGATATCGAATTACAAAAAGCTAAATCCAGAAATATTAATTCACTCTAAATTACAACAGACGCTGCTTCTAAATATAAAATATGGTTTGCTCCTTCCTACTTCTTCAATATTCACTTTTTACACCGTATTCAGACATATGCATCTCTCTCCTGTTACCTTCCAAGACGGAAACGCAAACCAGTCTGAGCTCAATGCATTCGCAGCCACAAACTATCATAAAGCAGACTCAGAGATAGTAGGAACTGCAGATGCTGGAGAATCTGAGATAACCAGGTGTACAGCTGGATGAACACAGTAGGCCAAGCAGCATCAGAGGAGCAGGAAGGGTCTGAAGAAGGGTCTCGGCCCGAAACGTCAGCCTTCCTGCTCCTCTGATGCTGCTTGGCCTGCTGTGTTTATCCAGCTCTACACCTGGTTATCTCATAAAGCAGACTCTATTTGCCACCTTTCTATGCGGTCATTCAAGTGTGCTTCCTGCTTTGCCGAATAATTTCAGGACGAAATCTAGTCATCCTTAAAGCTTGCGGAATCCTTAAATTGAAATCCTGCTGCTCTAAACTCACAGTGAAGTTGTAACTCTAGCCTCAATGCTGAGTAGTTACTGCAAGGAACCAAAGACTGCGGACACAAATTGGTGAATCTACCCGGCTTCAGATGTGACGCAGGCCTGTGTATGGACTGTTATTCCAGTTCCATATCAAAACAAGGTTGAAGTACCAAGGGCATGTTTTGCAAACCATCAGGGATTTCATTTAAACTTCCTTTCAATAATCGAAATACCCACGTTTGCCTGACAGGAAGCGTGGCGTTTGTTTGTAAACAGACTCGCTCAAAACCCTTTCCTAGATAGGAAAACTGAATTTGAAACCCTCAATAGACACACAGTTGGCAGAGCCAAGACCACCTACGGTCCATTCATATAAATACGACTGGCTTGAATGACATAGTAAAAACAACAAGGAGGCTAGGAACACTCATTGTTGTTCAAGTATAAATAGAACAGCGATTTCCTGCAGCCGCGCATGTGCAGTTATACATACGGAAATCAGGAAAGTGTTTCTACTGAACTAATCCTCTAGATACTGAAATCACTGAATCATACTAAGACACTCAGCAATGTAACACAAGGAGTTGCTGTACTTAAGTGTTGGTGCTTACTAAACTCACAAGAAATTTCAAACTTATCCATACCAGCGCAAGTATCTTTTAAATGTTTGATCCGTTTTAATTACTTCTGCACCACTCCTCTACGGCTAAAATTAACTGTGGAGTCTCATGTTTTGGTCATTGGTGGAGATCAAAATTGCAATTGTTTTCAGTCTTTTATTTCTATGTCTTTCCTCTCCCACTTCCAATATTTCTCTTTGTTTGCTGCACCCAATTCGTCACTGAATTCACCAGTCCAACTTACACTCCCAGTTTCAGTCTTCAGCCTATGCGATACAATTATGCACACAAGTTTCGGAACCCTTGGAAAGGGTGTTAGGCTGAAATGGCTCTCTGCTCGCCGCAAACTACTGTGCAAAAGTGTGCGGGTAAGCACAACCAATGGTTAGTGCTGAATAAAAACCGAAAGAACTGTAAATGCTGTAAATCAGGAACAAAAGTTGCTGGAAAAGCTCAGCAGGTCTGGCAGCACTGAGTTCTGAGGAAGGGACCGCTGAGGAAGGGACCCGAAACTTTAACTGAGTTTTTTTCTTCACAGATGCTGCCAGACCTGCTGAGCTTTTCCAGCAACTTCTGTTTTTTGCTGTCAATGGCTAGCGCTGTTGTTTCAACACTGATCAACACAACCCGGCCCAGTAAATGTTCGCACTGTGGTAAGCTAATCATTCTACTATGCAGTCAGCGTTGGAACTGCTGACAAACAAGTTCAAAATAGCAATGGACAGCGGGAATATCCCACCAAATTTAAACAGTTTGTCCCGTCGTGAGGCAGGATCTGAAGAAGGGTCGCTCGATCCGAAACGTTAACTCTGATTTCTCTCCACAGATGCTGTCAGACCTGCTGAGCTTTTCCAGCAATTTCTTTTTTTGTTTCTGATTTACGGCATTCGCAGTTCTTTCGGATTTTATGAGGCAGGATATAGCCTGGTTACGTTGGGAAACCTTAGCTACACCACATCAAACTACACCGCATCAAATGGTCTGGGAGCGTCTTTGCAGGGAGCGAAACAGAGTTAATGAAGTTTCAGGTCCAAGATCCTGGCTCACGCGCTCTCCCCAACATTTGTCTAATTCCAGCTTTTTGCGTATGTGTGTTATTGATTGGGCCTGCGGCATCTCGTCTTTTGAAAAGACATTCAATCGAGCGAATGGAGCAAAAGCGTACTGAAATGCCGGGCTAATAATATTCAGGACAGGAAGCGGAGAGGGAACTTTTGTTTTTCACTGCTTACACGACACAAATTGAATTCCGTGCAAAGCCGGCTTGTGTGTTCGAGCCCAGAGAAGAACTGCAGCGAATCCTGAATCGGGGTAAACAGTGCGAGGTTGGGAAGGACAGGAGATAGGAGAAGCCGGGCAGGACAGGAGAGGGGAGAGGGCAGAGACCGGGGACGACAGGATGGTAAAAAAGGAGAGAGGCTGGCGAGGAGAGGATAGTGAAGAGGGGAGAAGCTGGGGAGGAGAGTATAGTGAAGAAGATGAAAGTCTGCGGCGGAGGAGAAGATAGTGAAGGGGGGAGAGGTTGGGGAGGAGAGGATAATGAAGAAGGTAAGAGGCAGGAAGGCGCTGCGGCTCCCCTCCCTCTGGCAGCGCGGAGCGGCTGGGAGGGGCCGGGAACTGGTGCTCAGCAGCGAGCCTGGCACTGGGCTGATTCATTGCCCGGACTGCCCTCATCCTGCCCTTATATCGAGTTACCGGAGTGATTGGCGGCGCCAGGTGGGCTGCTGGAAGGATGTCCCTTCCTGGGGCACAGAGAGAGAGAATCAGTGAGCGGTAGCCGGGCGGAGCGAGTGTGAGCCGGGAGGAGGGAGGCAGCAGCTCGGTCTGTGTCCCTGTCCCCGTGTGTGTGTGTGTGTGCGTGTGAGGGGGCCCGGGCGGTGTGTCTGATGGGCCGGAGATGTTGGCCAGGAAAGGCCTGGTGCCCGAGGAGTATGTGCTGCGGCTGGTGGAGGACGTGTCCAGGCCCCGGTACCGGGCCCGGGAGCGCAAGGTGCGCTTCGTGGCCAAGAACGGCGCCTGCAACGTGGCGCACACCAACATCCGAGAGCAGGGCCGCTTCCTGCAGGACGTCTTCACCACCCTGGTGGACCTCAAGTGGAGGCACACGCTGCTCATCTTCACCATGTCGTTCCTGTGCAGCTGGCTGCTCTTCGCCATGATCTGGTGGCTGATCGCCTTCGCTCACGGTGACCTGCACCAGCCGGGGACCGGGACCGGAGGCGGCGGGAGGGCCGTGCCGTGCGTGACCAGCCTGCACTCGTTCACCTCGGCGTTCCTCTTCTCCGTCGAGGTGCAGGTCACCATCGGCTTCGGGGGCCGCATGATCACCGAGGAGTGCCCGGCCGCCATCACCGTGCTGCTGGCGCAGAACATCGTCGGCCTGGTCATCAACGCCATCATGCTGGGCTGCATCTTCATGAAGACCTCGCAGGCGCACCGCCGCGCCGAGACGCTCATCTTCAGCCGCCACGCCGTCGTGTCGCCGCGCAATGGCCGCCTCTGCTTCATGTGCCGGGTCGGCGACCTCCGCAAGAGCATGATCATCGGCGCGACGGTGCGGCTGCAGCTGGTCCGCCAGACGGCCACGGCCGAGGGCGAGGTGCTGCCGCTCGACCAGATCGACGTGGAGATGGACAGCCCGGTGTCGGGCGGCGGCATCTTCCTGGTGGCGCCGCTCATCATCGCGCACGTGATCGCGCCCGGCAGCCCGCTGTACCCGCTGCGCGCCGCCGACCTGCACGGCCGCCATTTCGAGATCGTCGTCATCCTCGAGGGGGTGGTCGAGACCACCGGCATCACCACCCAGGCCCGAACCTCGTACCTCTCCGACGAGATCCTCTGGGGCCACCGCTTCGTCGCCGTCGTCAGCCAGGAGGACGGCCGCTACTCGGTCGACTACTCCAAGTTCGGTAACACCGTCCGGGTGCCCATGCCCGACCTCGACGCCGAGCAGGCCCAGGTGCAGGCCCAGGCCCGGGGTCACGCCGCCACCTTCGACATCTTCCCGCCGCCCGAGCACACCACCCGCAGGAGGAACCTCACGGAGCCGCACCGCCTGCACTCCGAGACCGGGGATGAGGAAGAGCAAGGGAGCAGCGACAGGCCATGAAGTACACAGGCAGGCAGAGACAATTCCCAAACCCAAAGGAACCCGATGTACTTAAATATATATTAAACATATGGCTCTTTTGTGGTGTTAGTGGGTGGGGTCGACTTAACGTGTTCGTTAATTCTCTATAGCAATAAGCCTCGGGGATGTTTGAAACCTCTTTCTCGGGCAGGTTCCCCCTGGTGCTGAAGTTAACAGTTCCTCACGGGTTTGCGAGAAGCGATTGGTTGGGTTTGCATCAGGCTAGTGCACACCATGTCTCAGAGAGCAACAGCCGTGCCTCAAAAGTGTAGGAGCACGCAGCCCCCGGTAAACTCAATAGCCTTCGCTGTGCCTGGACGCGACAATCTTTATACAATCATTGCCGGCTGCGAATCGAAGAGACCAGGTTCGATGAGTAAATAAGTCAGTCTTGTGTGTGATCTCTTCCCCGATGGAAACCTAACCAGCTCGACCGTGTAGGGTTTAATCACAGAATCAGACCCACCCTAAGGCAGTGAAGCATTACATTTATCATGTGTGTCTCGAAGTAATATGTGGATAATAAGTGGATGCAAATGGAAAGGACATCTTTCCCTTTATTTCTGTTATTGACAGCTGAGTTAAAGATCAGTGGTATGATTCAGAGGTCGTAGGAATTGCCGATGCTGGAGAATCTGAGATAACAAGGTGCAGAGCTGGATGAACACAGCAGGCCAAGCAGCATCAGAGGAGCAGGAAAGCTGACTTTGAGTAGCAGGTTTCCTCAGACATTTTGTACTTGCAAACTCGTTGCGATGCACATAGGCACGTTGTTTTTGAGTGCATGGATGGCATCCTCCCGACCATTCTCATTTGAACCACTGCACCTGGTATATTGAAACTGCAGAGTAAATGTAAAATTGTATGAGATTGCACTCGGTGCCATGTTGATAAAACGCGACTAATTCCTCCTAGTTGTATCGTTAAATAGAATGACACTGACGTTTCCCACTAACGCTACCAATTATGAAGACGTGACAAACACATTCGTTTAGGGAAAAGAAAGGTAAAATGGACGAAAGAAAAAGACATTAATCAATCGAATATTTTTTCCAGTAATTTGTTTATTCACTTGAAACAAGAATAAAGAATGGCGAAACATCTAATTGTTGGAAACAACATTGGAGATTTTTTATCTACTTTTTTTAGTTGATTAGCAAGAGTTGATTTAAAAAAAACTGAAAAGAACCTTTCTGGTTTATGAGATGGGAGAAGAGTGTTTCCCAAGTCTCAGAGAATTGTATAATTACGGGGTCATTGGATGCTAATTCTTTCAATGTTGTAAGATAATTAGCAGAAACTAATCAACCTTAATACTGTTTTTGTTGATACAACCCTCCCATCTAGACTGCCATTACAATTGTTTTAACCAACCCATTCGGAGATGTATGATATCCTCCGAGACAGGTGAAACTCGAACCGACATTTTCTGCCGAGAGAGATAGTAGGATGGGTATGGACGCTACCAGTACACCATAAGAGCCTCTAGGTTCCCAGCACACGTCTACTAGTTTGCTAGTTTGTTTTTCCTTTATAATCGGCCGTAGGTTTCAGGTCTCAAGTTCGCCCAGTCATTGAGCCCACAAGTCAGGGAGTTTACAACAACGATTAGACCGATGTATGTATGTTTTCGGAGATCAGAATGTCGGCGATGCTACTTAGTTCCATCAACACACTCAAATATTGTAAGCAAACCTTGGGAATTTAGATCTGGGGTCAAATTATCTGGTCTGCAGTTGTACAAGTGCGTCCACATGGGAGCAGAAACATGCCATTAAAAAAAAACAAGCTAAGCCCGGAAATAAACAGAAGATTTCAAACTAAAATCGTTAATGCAAGGGCAACTTACCAGTAGAAACCAAACTACAGATGGAGCAAAGGGTGCGATTACGGTGCAGTATTACTTTGGAACAATATAAGAATGACAGCTCAACTTTAAAGCCTAATCACGGAGCTCCTGAAAAGAGGTAATTTAATTTCTACTTTTGATATTAGTTGAATTTAATACCAGCGTTCGTCACATGTGGCGTAAAAGTGTATATGGCTCTGATAATTTCGGCACTGCTAAGAAAAACTTACTTGGAGTTGATTTTAAATGTTTACAAAATTCAGATGTTCCCGTTTGTGCCATGTAAACATGTGTAATATAAGCGCATATGTACCACTTTCCCTTTTATGGACGAAAACAAACGGGAATGCTACAATAAGTGAGATAATGCCTAGAATTTTATAGGTAGCTCCAGCATAAATGCGCCATAGCATTTATGTTTTTAAATGGGAAAATCGACAAAATTGTGGAATTTAAAGCCTCAAGTTTTACAAATAAAACTGGAATTTAATTAAATTTAACCAGTTGGCATTAACTACAAATATCGATTTGTAATTTAAAAGTGTACGTTTTATGTTTTAAAAGGTATATTGATTGTAGGGGCATTATTTATAACTTTGTAGGAATTAAAACCAGTAGAAGATTAAGAATTTATCCAGAAAATCGTAAATACATATCATGTATAAACATTTGACACCGTGGCAGTTAAGAATCCTAAATAAAAAATAAAGAGTCTGAAAATCTGAGCAGACTTTACTGCTGCTTCACTGCGCCAGGGTCCCGAGTTCGATTCCATGCTTGGTCAGCAGACCGTGTGGAATTCTCTCCGTGTCTGCGTGGGTTTCCTCCCACAGTCCAAAGGCATGCAGGTCAGGTGGATTAGCCATGGGAAATGCAAGGTTTCAGAGATATGGGAGGAATATGGGGATCTAGCTGGGATGCTCTTCGGAGGGTAGGTGTGGATACGGTGGGCCGAATGGCCTGTTTCCACAGTGCGGAGATTCTACGAAAAGAAAACGCCACCAATTATTGAAATCGGAACAGTTTTTTTAAAAAGCTTTTGTGCTACCTTTACAGAAATTTTAAGTCTTTCGTGCAGATAACTTTACTGCGAGCACTGTTAATATCGTCATACAATTAATAGCATGCATTTCAGACTTTCAATTTGCGGTTTCTGTTGCACCAACAAATCTGAAATTAAACCTTTTAGCTTAAAAGTTTCATCTATAGGCAACTCACGGACCACTTCCAAATAGAAAGGTAGTTTGTTTACTGTTTCAAGTGAGGCTGTCCAGATTTTTATCCGACGTCATTTTATTATTTACAGTACATCATTAGCGATCCACAGTACTATGTTCTTTTGTCGGAGTGCGCTGGTGCGTTGCAGCCAATGGCTTATTGCTCAACAGAACACATATAGGGTAATTTTAGTTAAATCTTTAAGGCTCCAATCAATGCAGTTTCACAACTTTGCCTAATATCCGTTTTATTTTCTTTCCAGTATTTGGGTTAGAACCTCTTGATCGGTTTTCTATCCAAACTCTATCGCATGCATTTATTCTATAATACGTTTCACTCCAGTACCACTACATCTGAGCTAGTATCCTTGAACAAAAATCTAAACATTAAGCAGTCCAATGTTCGCTGGGAGTGTGGAGTCGGAAGATCTGCCCTCTAGAGTCAAGCTTTTGTACGTACACATCGCAAATTTGCCAATCTAAAGGAAGGAAACAAAAGCAATTTTTCTACCTGTGAAAATGATATTTATCATTTATGTTTCCAGCAATGAAATGACCGAAGTTTGCTAAATAATTCATGATTTCTGTTCTTACCCTTCAGAAACCTAATCTTCAGAAATAAAATGTTTTCACATCTTTCGATTTTGTTGCTCACCATTTAAAACTTTTCTTTCCTCCCTCGCATAATACTGTGAAACACACGATTCAAATTGCAAGCCGGAGGACATGACATCCGAAATCGCCAATCTGTGTTGGATTTGAAGTTCATGGCGCCCTCTATTGCTTTGCGAGCTGAATTCATACATTTAAAAATTCAAAGAATAACCACAAAAAATTATTTTAAAATGTGTAATTCAAGGGTAAATTCCATTGTTCAGTAATGTGTAAAAATAACTTAGTTATTTAAATGAACATGTGTACACAACTAGTGTAAAAATTCCCGAGTACACCTCCACTCTCAAGCAGAGATTGCTGATTCTGTGTCTATAAGGGAGTTTGTGCAACGGCAAACAGATTAGTTAGAGTTAACAGCATGATTACAAAGAGGAAATACCCCAGGTCCATTGTGTACAAAAAGAAATGAAGCCGTAAATTATCTCACCACTGTGCTACTCAATGTTCATCCATTTTTTAAAAGAGACCCTCTCTTGCTTTATTCGCAATGTGCATCACCCTGTACACCTTAAAAATCCAGGCATAGCAATTAGTGAAGCAAACAAGATATGCATTTCCTTGGAACATTGTAATGGTCATCATTTTCTTTGACTTCAGAAGGTGAAAAAAAAGGTGTATCACATATCCCAATAATATAGGTGTAACAAAGGCATGAACAAGAGTTCCAGCAGAAAATAAGTTAACGCAGAGGCACAGTCAAGTAAGGTTACAAAGATAGAAATACAATTTCTTAGTAATTGTTCAGATATGTTTTCAGAAGCTGATCTTAGTATCAAGTATGACTTAAAGGTTGTGAACAGTCTGTATCAGCATCAAACAATTATCAAGGAGAAGGATAGAGGTTGATTGCCAGTGAAACCAAAAAAAATGACTTTGGCCTTTCTTACTTTTAATGGATGAAAATTTCTGTTCCATCCATTACTGAATGTAAAATTATCAGGATGAGCATTTTGAGTTAGTGGGGAGACATTGCGATGTGGTGGCACAATAGAGTTATCAGTGCTTGTGGAAATTGATTCAGCACTTTCAGGTGGTGTTGCAAAGGTACAGTGTGTAAATGAGAAACAGATTTAAGGGATAATAGTGTAGCAGAGGAAGGTGATTCTCTGATTATTGATGACAAGAGGATGATTTTGTGGTCACCTATCAAAGGCTGAAGATTGTTTGCAAATGGATAAAGAAGGTTAGTTTATTATGGTTGTAGTTACAAAGTGCCTTGCTACATGTCAGCCTAATGAATACTGACTACTGAAATAGACAAGTTGTTAATTGAATCAAGAATGCACAACACTGAATTCTTACTTAGTATCAGCAATGACTCAGTTGTTAAGCCTCTTCTCTGAGTCAGAAGCTTCTAGGTTCAAATCCCACTTCAGAAACTCAGAACAATAATATAGGCTGGCACACTAATGCAGTATTGACAGGCTGCTGCATTGTACGAGGCATCATTGTTAAGAAGACAATTCCCAGTTGGATGTAAAATCTGACGATTCTTTTAAAGAATATAGGGGTGATCTTTGAGATCCTGGCTAATATTTATCTATGAATCAGTGTCACTAAAGAATAGTTTATCAGGACATTATCATGTTCGTTTTCTGTGATTCACTGTGTACAAAAGGGCTGTTTTTAAATTACACCATTGATTATACTTTATTGGCTGTAAATTGCTTTGGGATGTTTTGAGATCATGAAAGGTGCTATATAAATACATTTTCTTTTCTTTTGCAGAGACCTCAAATCTAAATCATACACAGAGATGCATTACTTTATTTATTTAATTTATTTGTAACTATTGAATCAGGACTATTGACAAGCTTTTGCTAAAAGTAAAGTGATTAAAAACAATTGTAGATTATTATAAAGACACCACATCACCTAACCATACTTATCATAATATCTCAGCATTAGTTTTGCATGGAAAAACAGATTATCGCCTGTGTTAATTTTTAAAAACTTAATATTTTGTAATGTTCAAAACATGTAAAAAGTTAACCCCTAAGATTGCATAAATGTTCGCTTATTAGGGACATTAGTGTTGAATCTCCAAGTGAGCTGGCTGTAGAGGTCTTCTCAGGAAAATTATATATTCAAACTGTCAATTGGATGGAGCTATCATATTCATTATCAGAGATTGATGTCATTCATTCAATTTTAATAAATATTGTATGTTCTAATAAAATTATTAAAGGTACATCATTTGTTTCTTTGGTTGTGATGTCTATAAACTACCTGGGTATGATCAAATGACAAAGCCCCACGTTGGGATAGCAACTTTGGCAGCAGTTTGCAAGCTTTTCAGAAGTGGTCAAAGTCACTGATTGACCTGAATCCTCTGAGTTGAAAATTTGGCATCTACTGCACACCTTTCACAGAATTATTTTGGGAGTTAGCAAACATTAAGAGATAAATCATATAAAGCCGAGTGGTACAGTGGCACTGTCTCTACCTTTGAGTTCAAGTTACATCTGAATGACTACAGATGAATGTTCACCGTGTGGTTCAATACCACCACCTCCCCACCATTCTCCAATGGGAAAAATAGTGTGTGAAGGCACACTTTAAAAAAAAATTGAATGGTATTCAGTTCTTTTAAATCAGCTAAACCAGGAGATAAACAAAATAGCATTAAAATATTTCTGTTTACAGTCCAAATTTAGAAGGAAAGCAATACAGAGCTGTCTGTTTGATCAGCAACCCATCTACCACTCTAACATTTACTCGCTCACCGCTGATGCACAGTTGTAGCATTGTATGTCATCTATAAGATGCACTGCAGCAAGTGACCAATATTACTCCAACAGCACCTTCCAGAAGCTAACAGATCCAAACAGAGGACTCGGATCTTTATGAACTCAAACAGACCCAAATATACCAAATAAATATTGAGAGATCAAATGGACCCTAGCAAATTCTAACAGACCCAACAATACAAAACAGAGCCTAACAGATAATGAGAGACTCATTACAGGTTGTAACGGACCCAGATAGTCCAGAAAATAAATCCAAATAGTACAAAACAACCCCTAACAGACGCTGAGTGACCAAAACTGACTATAAGGGGTCTGAACCGACTGAGCATTGATGCCAGACCACATGACATCTTCTGTTAACAGGTCCAATATCAGGAAGGAAGCCTTAAGCTCCTGCTGCCTCCCTCAACTGACAAATCATTACTCTTTTATGTTGAGCACAATTTAGAAGAGGCATTGATGGTGGCAGGAGCACAGAATATACTATAATTGGAGGTCTTCCATGCTCATCACCAAGTAGCACCACTTAGTTGACCAAGTCCCAAAAGGCATATCAGCCAGACTGAGTTTACTGTAGGTCGGAATAGAACCCACAAAATGGAAAAGTCGAATTTACCTCACTCTGATCTTTCTACTGGTTGTTAATGCATCAGCCCATGAGAGTATCGGTAGGAGTGACCTGCTGTCAAGCCCAGAGGCATGATGAAAGATCCTAAACATTCTTGTTTTGAAAACTATGTCACTGTTTTGATTGTTTTTTTGTAAAAGAAAACAGACTCTTGGTGGATATAATACAGTTACTTTCGAACATAGAATGGTCAAATTGGCTGTTGCCAGAAATTTCTGGCAATAACTAGAACAAAAGTATCATCTCTTTGGAATATTGCACCGCCATTTGTATGAATATTCCAGACAAGGCAGTGCAAAGGAAGCCCAAACAATGCATCACAACAGTTGTGTCTGGTTTGAAAGAAACCCACCAAAACATATTATGCTTGACTTGACCTTGATGCTAATGGCCTCTTTAGCACACAATGGATGAAGGGTAATCAAAGCAATCACATTAACTAAGGTGACGTAACCCAAAAGCCACCTGAATGAAGCTGCTTCTTTGTTTAATTGTTTCACTTCTGACCTCTTTCTGCTTGTAACACCAGATGAGAAAACAACAGAAGCAAGACCTGGCAACTTCTACTGCACTTGACCTCCTGAGAGGTTTTATTTTTTCTGTGCTCAGAAAGGCCTTCCACTTTCCATCTACTTACTAGTCTCTCAAATGCATTTGTATTGATGCCACATCCTTCATTTTAAGTAAGTCTTAATTTGTAAATTGTGTGTGAATGTATGTTTGAACCATTCCTGGAAGTTTTGAATGTATTAAGAATTGATACCTTGTCTATGCACTTAGGAATTTGCTGTGGATCATTTAAAAAAAAAATACACAGTGTGGGATACCATGCCTATTTGGAAAGGGAAAACAACTAAAATTTTTTAAAAAGTAATCACCACGTATTTTATAGGCAGATGAGGAGAACAGTAAAAATAGTTGAATTCGCTCCTTCCTCTTGTCTGTGACCAAAATCCTGGTTTCACATTTGAGATAAATTATTGCAACTGAGTTTATTTGATCCAAGTGCAAAAAAAAGGGCCAGAGATAAAACTTTAAAATGAGCAGCAACTGTTACTAAAATAAACCATTGGAAAACCAAAGAGTGAAAAATTTCATGGCTGAAATTGTTTTTAGAAAAAAACACAACTACAGCAAAATCTCTTGATCTAACATTAGGGCAAGTTATACTACAAAGATAGGTGTAGGAAAGGAAGAATTACTTGGTAAGACTCTAGCTTAGCTTCTCTTGCATTGCATTTGGTAGCTGGAAGAAGTACCTTCTAAAGACATGAGGTATTCTGAATGCGGTTTGAGCACTTTAACTTCAGTTCCTATCCAGAATAGAGAGTCAGAACCAAAAATTAACAGAAGTCCTTTACACAAAATAATCACTCTAGCCTTAAATAGCTGATAGAGCTGGAAAGGAGGTGACTAGAAAGGTTTTGTAAGAGACAGAGAAGGACTTTCAGGAGATGGAAAAAAAAGATGTTTTCCAAATGAAGTCAAAAGCTGAAGGAGAAGAAGCAGAAGCTCAGAAAAGAGAAAAGTAATGTAAGTTGTGTAAGATATATTATTGTTTTAGGAATTTGAGTTTGATTTATTTGTGTCATGTACTGTAATACAGTGAAAAGTGCTGTTTTGCATATTATACAGGCATATTGTACCATACAAAGTGCATAAGTGTAGCAAAGTGCAGAATATACTGTTACAGCAGCAGAGTAGGCACAGAGAGCGAGATCAGAATTAACATTTGTGAGGTCCATTCAAAACTCTAATAGCAATGGGGAAGAAGTTGTTCTTAATTTGGGATGTTTTAAACAGAGAGTCATATGGATGCAGGTTAGTGTTGTGAAGGTTTTATTTTGATAAGTCAGAAAGCCATTACGGAACAGTGACGTAAATGCACTTGTTCCAAGAAGAAATGTGACTGTAAACAAAGGCTTGTGAATGCACCTGGTGTGCGAGTGGAATATGATGTCTATACTTTTGGACTTAATGACAGGCAGTGTAAATATGTTAAGCCATTCATTTCATTTTGACTTCAGAGCAGAGAATGCCAGAGTTTAGTTTAGAAGAATGAAAAGTTGCATTTTTTTCTCTTCTGGAAAATTTTAGTTCAATTCAGTTTATTTCATTTTGGTTCGCTTTTGTTCAGGGGATATCAGTCACTGCAACTGCAGTGCTATTCTCCCTTGTTTATAAAGTTTTCAAAGCCAGGAGAATTTGGGATAGAAATCTTTATGTTGTTAGAATTGACAAAAATTTAGGTCACCATCAGTGAAAGGTTCAGGCCATCAGACTTAGAGAGGAATTGCAAAATTGCCTCTGCAGTTCAAAACAGAGAAACTGGAGGGAATCAGTTACATAGAAAACTTAAAACATTGACAAGGTATGTAATTATTCTGAATATCAGTCTCTGAAACAGTTATAGTTGAGAAACAGTTTGAAATTTTGTTTTAATGTTAAAGCTAAAATCTTTCTAACTGTAATCATAATTCTTATTTGTTTCAAAATGGTTATGAAAAGGATACGCCTTCCATAAAAGTAAAAGTTTTTAATTGTAATAAGGCAAATCGTAATGGTTTGAGACAAGAACTTTCAGAAATTGATTGGAGTAGATTGTTCACAGGTAGAATGAAGTCTGACAAGTGGGAGGCTTTCAAGAGTGCAAAGACAAGAGTTCAAAGGCATTATGTTCTTGTTAGAGTGAAGGGTAGAGTTGGTATGATTAAGGAAGAATGGATGAATAAAGATATTGAGGTTCTAGACAAAAATAAAAGAGAATCTTATTTTAGACATGGACAACTTAGTTCAATTGAATCTCTTAATCAATATAAAGACTGTAGGGGCATTCGTAAGAAAGAAATCAGGGAGACAAAGGGGATATGAGATAGCATTAGCAGATAAGGTTAAGGATAATCTAAAGTGATTCTACAAGATTTTACATTAGAGTAAGAGGGTAACTAAAGAGAGGGTAGGGTCTCTTAAAAATCAAGGAGGTCATCTTTGTGTTGGACCCCAGGAGATAGAAGAGATACTAAATGAATATTTTGCATCAGTTTTTACTGTGGAGAAAGAAATGGAGGTTAGAGAATACAGGGAAATAAATTTTAAGATCAGTTCACATTGGAAAAGAGGAAGTCCTGGAGGACTTAGAAAATATAAAGGTAGATAAATCGCTGAAACCTGATCTAATGTATCCAAGATGTTGTGGGAAGTAAGGGAGGAAATTGTGAGACCCCTTGCAGAAATATTTGGATCATTTATAAATACGGGTGAGGTGCCGAATTACTGGAGAGTGGCTTATTTTGTACTTTTGTTTAAGAAAGGTTGTAAGGAGAAACCAGGGAACTATAGACCTGTGAGTTTGACTTTGTTTGTGGGTAAATTGTTGGAGGCGATTTTAGAAGTTTGGATTTATAGACATTTAGAGAGGCAAAAGTTAGGGGTAGTCAGCTTTGTTTTGTGTGAGGAAAATTGTGTCTCACAAACTTGATTGAATTTTTTTGAGGAAGTTACCAAAAAGATTGATGAGAACAGAGCAGTAGATGTTATTTGTTTGGACTTAGTAAAGTCTTTGACAAGGTTCCACATGGTAGACTAATTAGTAAAGTTAAGTCACATGGGATTCAGGGTGGTTGGTTACATAATTGGCTTAATGGCAGGAGAGAGTGGCAGTACAGGGTTGTTTTTCAGACTGGAGGCGTGTCACCAGCGGTGTTCCAAAAGGATCGGCATTCATATAAATGATTTGGATCAGAATT